GCACTTGAAAGATCATTGACACCTAATCATCACATCCTGCGCGGCAACATCACAGCAAACCCTGAACCCTAAACTCTGAGCCCTAAACCTTTGACCCTAAACCCAACCCTTAAATCCCGAAAAAACACACACGCAGAGGCGCCGGCAGCCCCTTGCTGAGGAACGTGCATCAGATCCAGGCTGGGTACTCTCCCCAACATTGGATAGATGTTAGGGATCCTTGAAAGGGGGATATCCGGGTTATATAGGGAGATTCTAGGATACATGGGGTTTAGGGATCCTTGTTATAGTATTCGAGGAGCCTAAATAATTACCCGAACAATGCAGAATCAAATGGAAAAGAACATGAAAAATGGTTTATAGGGATGAACATGAAAAACGGTTTCTAGTAATAATCATTAGCATCGTGGCAGGGAGGTGGTTACATGATAGAATACAGCGCTTAGTGCACCTTGAGACAAAGAAGGCCGTTTTTCTGTTCAAAAATCTGCACCAAGCTCGGCCGTTTAATTGCTAGAAGATTGGGCTTTGGGTAGGGCAGTGGCCCTCTCCGAGCTCCAGGGAGAAGGAACGTAAGGGTAGCAACTTAGTTTTCTTCTTGTGGTGAGAGTGGGCCGCTTGTTCTTGGAAACTTCCGTTTGTAGACATGCCCCGGAACCCTAAACTACAATCAACAAACCAAAGCCCCAACGCTTTGTGCCTCATACCCGACAGGCGACTCTGGGTGCATTCGCAGCCATCCTCGATGCTGGACAGTTCTTGGTACATTGTGGGACTTGCAATAGTCATACTGAAAACGCAACCCATTCTTATTCTTGGGTTACTGAGGTTCCCACTTAATGTGGGAGTTTCTTCTCAGAATCTCCCCTCTGCATTATGACTAATATCCCGAGTCTCGAGCGCAAACAGCGGACCTAGATTATTTTGAAAGTCCACGCTTTGTTTGCTTGAAGAGGTTATCCGTGTGCTGGATCAAAGAATGAGTTTCCTTGGCCCTGAGCAAGATTCCAGGATGATGGCTCAGTGATGACATGGGGCAGGCAAGCTTCTGGTGGTGACAGCAGCAGCGTGCAGAATCGACTCGTGAACGTGAAGCATGTCCAGGCTACTCTCAATATCACTGACCTGGCTGTTGCGTACCAGTTAGAGTAGTGCACGCAACTTTTTTGGGAGCCAACATTTTTGGAAATTTGACATGTCCAGGCTACTCGCAATGCTTTTGCTGCCATTCTGGCTGACGGATCTGTTGTAACCTGGGGAAATGCGGCCTATGGCGGGGACAGCAGCGCCGTTCAGGAGCGGCTAAGAGATGTGCAGCAGATCCAGGCAACCGGATATGCTTTCGTTGCCATCCTAGGCGATGGATCGGTGGTAACATGGGGACGGTCTCAGTATGGCGGTGACAGCGGCGCAGTTCAGGAGCAACTTAGCAATGTGCAGCAAGTTAAGGCTTCTTGCCACGCCTTTGCCGCCCTCTTGGAAGATGGTTCCGTGGTGACCTGGGGCGCGCCTGCTCTAGGAGGAGACTGTAGATGTGTCAAGGGGCGACTCCAAAAGGTGCAGCAGATTCAAGCTAATGACGACGCGTTTGCTGCGGTCTTGCATGATGGATCTGCAGTGGCATGGGGAGATTCCGATTTTGGTGGTGACTGCAGTGACGTCCAGGAGAAACTGAAGAATGTACAGCAGGTCCAGGCGTCGTCTTCAGCATTTGCTGCCATCCTTGGCGATGGATCCGTCGTAACCTGGGGCGGCGGCGCAGGGGGCGACTGCACCTCCGTGCAGGAACAACTCAGACATGTGCAACAGGTCCAGGCTACCTACTACGCTTTTGCCGCCATTCTCCAGGATGGATCCGTTGTAAGCTGGGGTGATCCCTTATATGGGGGTGACAGCAGTGCAGTTCGGGGACAACTCTGCAACGTGACTCGCATCCAGGCCGGCAACCTTGCATTTGCGGCCGTCCTGGATGATGGGTCTGCGGCTGGGCTCTTAGTATTCCTTTTCTGGGTTGCTGTTAAAGACCTTAAATGAATCTACCGTAATGGGTATATATATATATATACAGTAATTAATATGGTTTCCCAATATAGTACCTTAAATTAAGTTCTTTAACAGCAACCCAGTTTTTGGTGTGTTAGCTTTCTGAGCTTCTAGACGTACGTGCTGCCTTTCTTGGTATTCGTTACCACGAAAAACCTTGTAGCCTCACCCTTATACCTTGAAGTTGGAAACCGGAAGCCGCGAATAGTACCCCTAAAGCCCTAAACTCCACCAGTCTTTCTGATATTAAGCCTGAAGCTTAGGCCCAAGCCCCCGAACTCCTATTTCCTTAGCAATTCCTGCTGTGCCTTGGTATGCCCCCTAAGAATTGTAAAGATATCTTTTTTTTCGTACTGTGGGTCCAAGGGGGTTACAGAGAAATGGAATGAATGTTTGCCACTGCGGTAGCGCAGGTGGTGACCTGGGGCCATGCGGCTTTTGGAGGCGATAGCAGCGCTATCCAGGAGCAGGTCAAAATTTGCCTCAATCAAGGGTTGGGGGTTTGGTGTTTTTAAGTAGTTCAGGGGTTTTGAGTTCTGGGCCGGCGAAGAGACAGTGCCATTCTTGTATCATGAAGGATCTGCGTATCTCAACTTGCCCATTCAAAGCAGCATCCTTTCAGCTTCGCCACAAGCGACAGGAGCTACCCTGAACCTTAAACCTTAAGCCCTCAACCCTAGACCCTAAGCCCTAAACCCAAATTACCTAATTAAACCTTAAGCCCCAAGCCCGAAGCCCTGAGCCCTAATACCTAAGCCCTAAATCCTAAACCCTAAACCGCAACCTTTCTTCAAACGCAAACTTCCTAATCGTTTAGGCTTGGGGTGGAGAACCTTTCAACAGCCATGCTATGAGCCATAGTCTAGACTCCATCAAGGAGATTATATACAGGATTAAACAGGAGAGTGTTATATGGATTATTAAGGGGGATGCTAGGAGTGTAGACTATAGCTCATAATAGTGCCCTCCCCTAATGTTACAACCCCCAATGCCCTGGCATTCAATCATGAAGCGTGGTAGACTATAGTTTTCTTGGGAACATGTCGCCCCCCTTGCAAGTTTTCAACCCCAAGCTCTGGTTCTTCATGGTTGCCACAAGAGCTCGAAGGTGTCTATATCCACCAAAAAACTGTCTGCCACACCCAACTTCTTCACTTGTCTGTCGCATTCCTGCTAAGAATTGTGCACGGATGCTTATTGCCACAACTGGGGGCTGGTGTGCCGCAGGGGTTACTGTTTGGAAGGCCAGCCCTCAGGCCAAGGTCTAGCGCTTTAATTTAAAGCTCCTTGAACCTTCCCCCTTGAGCGAAAAAGTTGACGGAACTCTACATCTTGCCCTCAGGACCCTACCTTCCCCTCAACTGATGATCTAATTAGGGAACAAAGGAATATAATCCCTATATCATACATTCCCTTAGTTCCTACTAGGCCCCCGTAAGACTAGGAGGGTAGTACAGGGGGAGGGTAGTAGGGAACCCCTCCTCCAAACGATCTCTTGCCAGCCAAGGCGTGAAGAGGTATGGCGATGAGGGCGTCGATGCCTCAGCTTACAGGGCATTGGTAGAGCCTAAGAGAATGCACTATTTAGGGGTTATTTAGGGATTATATTCCCTTATTCCTTACTAAGAACTAGTGAGTTTTGGGTTGACAGTTTGGGGTTTTAAGCTTTAGGTTGGCCTTGTCGGGTTCAGGAGGTTTGGGTTTGGGATGCATGGCTTCGGATTCTTCTGTAGTTGCGTGAGTTTGCTGTAGAGAGATTTATGTGGATTAGGCGGATGGGCTACGGCTGACCCAAGCAGTGCACAATGATAGTGTACTGCGGGCCAGCACAGAAATGTTCGCAACCCGACCAAAGCCCCCCCAAACCCGAACCCTAAACTCATCTTTTCGTATGCAAAAGGAGGACCCCAAGAAGTCCTAATCTACTGACTGTAAGCAGTGTGAGCCTGACGTCCCAGCCAGAATTCTGTAAGTAATGCAGTTCCTTGCATGTTTCCCCGGCTTTGGTGAGGGGATTCCATGTCACTGCTCATCAGATCAACAACATCTGGGTTGTTCCCAAAATTATGGGCCCTATCGGGTTATAGAATATTTTACGGCACCCAATATGTAGGGATTCCAAAATGGAACCCTAATTTTGGGAACTCTTCACCTGATTCACAATTCCAGCCTTTTCTGGTCTGAGTCCGTGATGGCTTATGAGTTGCACAAGGGTGCTTTTACCTGGAGGTCCATGTGCCCCACTCATAGCTGTAGGCTGTAGCTATAGCCCAGCCCGGACCATACAAGGGGCCTCTGGGGCTTAGAGTTGGGCTATAAGTACAGACAAGTGCAGTTATAGTTATAGGTGGGCTATAGTCTCCATATAACCCCTATATAACCCCTATATACTCCGCATATAACCCCTATAGATTCCCTATATAAACCCATAATCCCTACATAACGGCTATAGTCACCTTGAATCTCCAAGTAAGCCTTGGCCGCCCCATGGGGATACAGTAGTTCCTTTTTAGGCAAGGTTGTCCCATTGCCCGCTCCAAGCCACCATAAGCTGCAGAACCTGCCCCCTTCAGAAGCCTCAAGCTGTAAACAACAAGCTCAAGGGCTTTAGGCTTAGGATTTTGTACGCCCCAAAAGAAGGCTTAGGATTTTGTACACCCCAACTGTGGGGAATCGCTTATTTTTATGTACGGACCCTTCTTGCCGGCAACCTGCCATCAAAAACCTTGCCCTCCCCAAGCCAACATGCAAATCTCTGTAAGTTGGTTGCTGAAAGGGCGCAAAGATTCATTGAGTTCCTTTTGGAGTTTCATTCTAGTTTCGGTAGGGGAAGCCCTCATACGAATTTGCTTGGAACAAAAACCGTGGGCTCTGCACCTTCAGCCCGTTCCCTTAGCACAGGCGTACATTTCTCAATTTGATTTCCGCTACGTAGCCCCAATATACTGCAGTTCTGACGGCACGGACCCAGAAAGACCAAATTTCGGAGACATTCCCAAACGAGGATTTTCAGGGGGTCCTTTCCTGAGGGTATACCCATAATGAGGATCATAATACTTTGGGGTAAATTTTAATTGGAGGAGCGAGGGACCACTTTTGGACGGGCCAAAAAACGTTCAGGTCTACACTGCAGGCGACGGCACCAAGAGTTTGCGAGTCACTGCCGTTCGCTCGTTGATTTGGCCAGGCTCGGTGTAGGGTTAAGGGTTTAGGGGGTCATGTTGGTGTTTCCAAGAATTAGGGGCCGTACAGGAAATTGCGCAGAGGCAGTGTAGGTTTCAAGTTTTCTTGGGAGCTCCAAGGATGAGAAGTCTTGTACAGGGGTCCATATTCTGAGGCCTCTTTATATGGAACCCAAAGTGGAGGTATTCGCCGATGTTGCGGTACCTTGACTTTTGCAAAAACTCTTGGCGGCGGACGGTCATACTTGTGACACGAAATTGTTCCCAACACCCTTCCTACGGGCGAAGTTTCAGAAGGTCTGTCATGATAGGCCTTAGAGAGCTTTTTCAGGGAAGAGCATTCAGTAGCACCTATATGGAAATCTGCATTAACAGGGGGTTCTAGTAATATAGGGGTTCTAAGAATATAGACCCCATAAATTGTAATCCTACTTACAGGTACCCCCCAAAAGGACCCGTAATTTGTGAACACCTCCGCACGCATCGTTTGTCTCACGCTCGAATCCTCAACTTTCTGCACAAATTTGGGTCGCGATTTCATGCCCTCCCGTTCATACTTGTATCAACTCTCTCCAGACCCGCTTCCGCATTTCGTATTAGTGGGAGTATTTGATATCAGAGGGTGGCGAGGTCTGTTATTCTTATTGGGGCTTTGTAGGGAATAAGGGTATGGAATCCCTATATAATCTCTATAGAATATATTCCTTTCTTCCCTACTAAGCCCCAGTACGACTTGGGGGAGGGTATCACCACCCAAAACATGTGAGGATCTTGGGGCCTGGGATGCTCACCTTCGGATCCTCACCATGAGCCTCCTGCTATTTTTGACACTCTACACTAAACCCTAAAGCCTAAACCATAAACAGTACACCCTAAACCCTGAACCCTCAATTTCTGCGGTCTCGCTCGCAAGATCAGGTGCCATTACCGTCGTCAAGGGGTCGAAGTACGCCAACCTCTACGCCCCTTGGAAATATAGGGGTCGCTTGATCGGGGCTATCTGGGATATATAGGGACATATGGGGATATGTATGGCTTCTGGCTTCCAAAGCTAGGGCCTATTGTTGAGATCCCTTTATTAGGACCTATGGGCCACGTTTTCAAGTTTTCCAAATTCTTAGTTTCTGCTATGACGAGCCATAGTGGAATTTGGGCTTTCTGGCAGTTAATCAAAAGACTCCTGGCAGAATTCTTAACGGGGACCCACAGAATCCTTCTGTTCCTACACATTCCTGGGATCCCTATGTGCCCCCTATTTTGAGAAACTCCATACCTGACAAGGCCAACACTGGCAATGACACGTTTGCTTACTGTCGTCGTATTCTATGTCGTGACTTTTATCATAGTTTGTGGAGCTTTTGTCGTCATTTTTGAATTTTGAAGCTTTCGCCATCAGCCAGTGCCATTCTACTCATGCTGGTGTTCTTCTCGCCGTTCTGTTGCTACTTGCTCCTGTTGAGCTGGATTGTACTTTGATTGTAGTGGTAGCTGATGTTACTGATCTCATGTCTGATATCAGTTTGGACGCTGCAAGTTGTCCTCCATTCCATCCTGGTTGTCCTGCCGCTTCCATGTTTCTATGGCCATTGTGATCGCAGTTTACGTTTCCCGTTTACATAACTTGCAAAAAGAGAGAGAGAGAGAGACGCAAATCCTGCTGCCATTTTTCCTTTCAACTCTCAAGTTGGCTGTCTGGTCGGGGAACCATTTCTTGTTTGCTACTCTTGCGGCTATTCTTTGTTGAATTTGCTAGCGCCGTGACTGTTCATCCGGGAGGGATGAAATTCAGGGAGGTAACACAGGTTGGATCCGCTGCGTTTGAGGGGTTCATCAGGATCTTCCCAATGAAGCCTCCAGTTGCAGGCCTCGAGCAAACTGTGATGTATTTTCCCGATATAGCAACTTAAATAGTAACTCCATACCTTAAAACTTAAACTTCAAACCCTATATTACTTTTTGAACAGAGGTCCCAACAAACTCGATGCAGAACCCCCCCCCCCCAATGCTGGCCATAGCATTCTGGCATTGCTTTAGACCCTAAACCCTAAAGCCCTGAACCCTAAATAATAGTAAGAATAGTAATCATTATAGTAATAATAGAAGGAAGAACAAGAATAATAACCCTGAAGCCTAAACCCTTGGGGGTTCCGCGTTGGTTTAGGGGCTGATGATTGCTGGTTGTTGGCAGCTATTGTTCTGGGCCTTTAAGTGCTTGTTTCCTAGATTTAGGCTCCCGCGTTGATACGAGCCCCAATTTCCTTCCGTCTCATTTTAGACGAAGCATCTGGAGGCAGATCC